ACCAAAAACGCTGTCTTAACCAGTCTCCCTGCCTTAACTCTCGCCCCTGCCATCTGTCTTCAACAAAGCCTTCAAAGTGTGTCTGCTAAGACACAGGTCGTCATCGCTCTTCTGTGTCCCATCTCACTGGAGGACATGCAGTCCTCACAAGGGCCTGGAAGAACCGACATTACTGGCCCCGCCCTGCGGCTCCCAAACTCATCGCACTACCTCTCTGACCCACTGTCCTCACCACACAGGCCTCCTGCCGTTTCTCAGACATGCCAGGCTGGACCGGCTGTTCCTTCTGATGGAGGGCTCTTGCCCGCAGGCCAGGCTCACCCTCTCACCACTGTCAGGTCTGTTTGAACTGCCCTTCTCCAACAGCCCTCACCCTCACCGCTCCCAGCCCCGCCTCATAGTCCCACGAGACCCTCACACATCCCATCTGACGTCATTCCTACCTATTATACTCACCACTTGGGTTACGTGTTTTTTTCCCTCTCTCAAAGAAAGCTCCATCAGATCAGGGATGTTTTATGTCTTTCATTTTCTGCTGTATCCTAGCACCCAGAACACTGCTGGCACATACTTGATGGTCAACAACTAGTTACTGAGAGAATGAAAGAGGGGACACTCGCTCACTGGGCATCTAAGCCCACACAGGTGGCAGACCAGCGGGAACGGACGCGTCCGTCGCGGAGGCCTCCTGCAGGTCAGCCCTGCTATCTGTCTTGGTTTCCCATGGAGACCTGGTGGAGTCTATCAGCCTTTCTCCAAACAAATCATCAGCACAGAAGTCCTCCTTGACAGAGAGCAGAACTGTTATCTCCACTCCCATTCCCCTGGATTTTAGGGCACTGGTGAGGATTTTTCCCATTAAAATGTATTTATTCCATAAGCAATTTTTTCCCAAATCTGCCTCACCCCTCTGTTTCTGGCCATAGCTGCACAGTTGGGGATTGCTGCCAGAGGCTCCTGATTCGATTAAGAAACACACTCTCTGCTTTAGGTGGGCATCCACTTGTATTTCACTATAATGTGATATTAGAAACGACGCCCTGGACTCTCAGCTGCCTGCAGCACAGCACATCTGCCCCAGTCATCCTTACGACCCTCCACAAGAGTGCTCGGAGCAGGCTGTTACTCCCCTCAGCAGACAAGGGAGCCGAGGCCCGGAGAGCCGGCCATGTAGGAGACCCTCAGCACAATTTCCTGCTGTTGCTTTTTAAATCTTATTTTACTGCAAGTCATCTTCAAACCCTTAGACAAAAAAGGCTGTCTTAGGTTAGACAATTAGTGTTTTTGAAAAAAGCCTCCATTTTGGACTTACTGTTGGGATGTTGAACATCTATAGTTAATACCCTATTATGATGTTTCTTCCTGTTAAAGTTAAGCTCTAATAAACTGACAAACAGGACCCAACCACCCTGGGGATTTCATTTCTAAGAAAGTATACAATTTATAAAACTATATTTTTTCCCTAAATTTTTATCCAGTGGTAATCTAATTTTAGACATCCTCCCCCAAGCTGATTTCTTGGGGGAGCAGCTTCCCTACAAGCTGATGAAAAATTCCACCTTCTCTCTTAGACTTGAAACATCCGAATATTACCTTTACTAAACAGCTTAGAAGTCAGCCTCTTCAAAAAAATCTGTACCTGAGGCCCCATACTGGATCAAGCTCCCTCCCAGTCCTCTTGTACCCATTTGTCACCTCTCTCCCTCAGTAAATGCCACATTTCTTTAGAGCAGGGATTAATCATCTCTGTATCCCAAGCAGCTAACACAGTCCTTGGCACCTGACAGGTACTCAATATATGAAGGCTGAATAAGTGAATGAAAGGAAGCAGTCATCAAAGGTGAATGCTAAGGGAGGGAGCTCCTTCACTCCTGGTATCTGTTCCTTCTGTACGCTCCTGGCCCCTTCCTGCCCCCTCACTTACTAGTCTCTAGATTGTAGAGTTCGGAAGTAGAAACCGGACGTGTCCTGTCCGCCCCTTCCTCTTAGGGACGCAGGTGCTGGCAGGAAGCACACAGCTCGTCTTCCCACTCGGGAAGGCCTGTGGTGGACGCGCACACCAGTGACTGGGTAGATTTGTCTGTGTGATCTGGGGGTTCAGCATCAGGAAGCACATTTACCCGCAGTTATAATCTAAATTCTCTAATGATAGAGGTGATTGTCTCATCTCCCATCTGACTTGTTCTTGTATTTTATTTATTAATTGGTTGAGAAATCAGGGCATGAAAGAGAATTTTTTTGTGGGGGTCCTTAAATCTCTTCCCAATGTGGACCAGTGGACTTTGAGATTTTTATTTTGAGAGGCTTATCCTGTGCTATAAATTACTCCCAGACTATCACTGTTTTATTAATAAAGTAAAAGACGGTAAGACCAGATATTGCTGTGAAGCAACATATTACTGCGAATTCAGCAAACCCCAGAAAAGCCAAGAAACAAGGGCTAAAATTTATGATGATAAAAACCTTTCTGTGCCATCAGTAGAACATTTTGTTTTGTCTACATTCCTAGAATCCTATGGTTCAAAAAGTATCAAATTACCTACATCAAACTTTGAGCCTCTCTTTCCTGATAGTCTACTTTTTGCAAAAACATTTAAACACTGTTCTAATAAACATGCAACCTTATGAAATGGATCTGCCAAGACTCCCTCCACGCTTCTTCCCATAATGTTGAAAGATCACCTAAGGCCGGGCCCAGAGGACGACAGAGTCTTCTCACATAGGGTGTTTGATTCAATGCAGGGAGAGGAGTCCAGACGCAGGGCCCCGAAGGCACCGACCTGATTTAGGGTGGAGTAGCTTCTAGCTGTCCTACAGACATATTTCACCTTTACCTAGGCCTGGAGTCTTCCTCTAGTAAGGCAGATAATAAAATGCTCCAATTTATTTGGTGGTGGTGCTTATCATGGCTGATTTCACCATGATATCATGGCTGAAATCAGGTAGTATCATTACTGCATTTTACAAATGAGGAAACTGTGATTCAGAGAGAAACACAGCTAGGAATTTGAAAGGTGGGGATTTGAGCCCCTATCCTTTAGACTTCACCAGCTGCACGTGGTATTTCCACTCTTCCACGGTGCCTCAGAAAAGATCCATCCCCATTATGGAAAATGCACCATGGATGCTTGAGAGCTTGATAGTGGAGGTGAGGATATGTTTACACACAACAGGCAGAATATTCCTACAAGGCTTTCAAAGGACTGTGTCATTGTCCTGTACAGACAGGGAGAAGATAAGCAGAAAAGCAATACAAAGAGGCACGCACAGGGCCCAGTGAGCATGCACAGTGGCTACCAGACTGTAAGCCAATGTCCCCAGTGACTAGACTTAAATAGAGTTTGGGGATGGTTATTTTTCTGACTTGTCTGAAGATGCTACATTAATACACAACACACAGGACACACCTACAGCCTCTGCTTCTTTTCTAAGCTGAGCTTCCCAGATCTGTAGACCAAGCCCAGCCTGCTTCCTACGTCACTGGACACTCAGTTTCCTCCTTCGTTACCAGGTGATAAGCCACCTCTTACCAAGAGAAGTAGGTCTCCCCCAAATTGACCCTGGATTCTCAATCTTTTTGCTATAAAACCAGAATCTATGCACAACGCTTTTACATGCATTATCAAAATGAATAAATACTAGATAACCCCAAGCTCACTCTCAGATACATGTCCTTGATGGACTCCAGACATTCTGGATTCAGTGTCCCCAGAATTAAATCCAACAAACACAGTGTCAACAGAGGCTCACTCTCCTCTTGGGCTCTTTCCCTCCTGCACCCAACAGCATTATATCTCCAACACCGAACGTGACAACCGAGAGGCCTGATCTGCCTTCACTATACTCATCTAAACGGTTGCCGAATCCCAAAGCTCATGTCTGCACGACATCCCTCCTTGCACTCCCCTCCCTTCAACTTCTACTACTGTTGCTCAAGCTCTTGATCTTAACACTCCTTCCCCGGTCTGCTCTAAGCTTTCCTCAGTAGATTCCTTGCATCCAGTCCCATCTCCTTCGAAGATCTCCTTGAAGACCTCCTCTCCTCAGGGTCACTGTCACAGCTCCGATCCTCTCCTACACTTTGACCCTCTATGAAGCCTTAGGGATGGGGCTGAACACACCTTCGGTGAAGGCCAGGCAGTCCATCTGTCATCTGGGAACTCTGCCTCCAGCCATCACTCTTTCTGACATTGTTCCAGGTACTAAAAAATGTCAGATTTGTGTGTTGAAGCTATTTCTATCCCCTTGTCATCTCTAAAATATCAGGAAATATCTGGAGGATATTCTCCCTCCAATTGATGAAGTCATCATTCCCATCATCTAAAAAGGTTTTGAAATTCCGTGTTGTCTAATCACGTGTTCCCAGACTATTCAGAGAAGAGTTTTTTCTCTTCCCATTTTTTCTACCTCCTCTCTCCTCCCCTCGCCAAGCCTAGCCATGTAAGGGCCACGGCTCTAGTTCTGATCTTTTGCCAGGCTCTGCCTCTTGGTGAATGTTCAACACACATACCTTTGAACTGTTACTCTGATCTAAACTTTTTCTTCCTATTTGATGTATGAGGTGTATAACTTTTGTACCTCATCAAGTGCATTTCTTTTGGACTGTAAGTTACTGGAAGGCAGGCCTGTACAGAATACGAGGAAATTTTTGCTAATAAGAATTCATGCTAGTAGCTGCTGTTTGATGATCATGAGAATAGCATTCAAAGCCACTCAAAAAATGCGCAAAATTTAATAGTTCATATCTTGATTTCTGTCTTGGGCACGTGGTTACACCATTTTTTCCACCCAACACCCAGTCATTTCCACATCTGGTGTACTTAATAGTACCCTAGAATGGGGTTCACTTTGATCCGGTCTTGGCTCTGCAAACAGTCTACAGCCATCGCTGGGGATCTCTGCCTATCACTAGAGCCTATGCAGTGAGGGACCAAGCCTGGGACGGATTCAAGTGCGTAGAGCTTTATAAGTGACCGGCGCCTTGTCTCAGCCATACTTACTTGGTGAGGTGGGGGAGGCTGCACCTCCTTCTGTTGATGTGGTCGGAGGCTTTGTGTCTGGCACCGGCAGAGGCACAGGCCTGGCCATCGGCGGTGGCGGCGGTGGTGGCAACATTGGGGTGGGAAGGAATGGGTTGTGCACTTTGCCTTGGCTGCTCCCATTGGGCTGCAGGGGTGGAACAAAACAAGACACGTACAAGAAAAAGAAGAAACAGACATGAACCATGAGCTGCTTCTGAAGACGAAAGATTCATTAGGCATCTTCTACGTAAGTTACTAAGTATTCTAGCTGCTTGAGTTCTTCCATAAGAGCATATGGATGAAGAATTGAGGGGTTGTTCTTAAGGCATTCCACACAAGTACCGTCTTGGGCACACATGCTCAAGGCACCCCAAACTTCTCTCTTGAATTTCTTTGACCTTCTTTGCATCCTGGTTCCGGGAAACGACCTGCCAACTTTTGCTTGGAATGTTTCGATTCTGTATTAGCTGCTACTTTCATCATCAGTCTCATGATTATTAAATATTTATTTAATATGTGTGTTTTATAGACTGCAAAATTATTCCATATTTATTTATATCGATATAATGAAGTTTCCTAAATATGCCTTTGAGATAAAAAAATATTTTATTTTCACGCTTCCAAGTTGATATTATATAACATTTAATAAATATGTTAAGCGAACATAAGAAATTTCTTTCACATATTGTGTAACATCAGGCACAGAAACTTTAGAATTCAGCTGTCAAAATTCTACTAGGAAAAAATATCACTTCTAATTTTGATTGAAATTATATAAGCATATGCCATAACAGTCATATTTATTTGGCCGCCTGATGTTAGAATAACCAAATAATAGCTCTTTCACAAAAGAAAGTTTCCCTCTGAAGAAAGGAATAAAATCCATTTTATCTTCAAGCTTTTCAAAATAGTCCCATGAAGAGACCTGCCTTAAATTCTATAAAATTTTGATCAAAATGCAAAACTGGGCATTGAAGATTATATAGGATGATGTCAGGACTATTAAAAAAGAGTTAGAAATTTGAAAGTCAGATGCCTGATGCTGGTGGTCACTTCAGTTCTCTCATGGTTTCCCAAGTGCCCTTCTGACCCCAGACTCCGCAACACCATTCAACCAACAGTAACAGCTGTATCTAGGCCACAGTCCTAAGCAGAAACTCAGCTGGGGGAGATCCTGTGTCCCAGGCTTTTAAGTGTAAGCTCATAATTCTGCAGAGGCAGTCTTTCTCCCTCATCAACATTCACTTACATATTTAGTATTGTTCCTCAAAGACTATCTTGTCTGACAGTCAGAATGTGTGCTTTCTTGCCAGCAAACTTGCTTGTGCGAGATTTCTGAGTGGGCTAGAAGTCCGTAAGTGAATGCTTCAGAATGAGCCAAGCAAAGGAATACACAAGCAAAAAGAAAAGAGGCGCCATATTGATTTGTTGTCTAGACAGAAATGTATCTGCTAACACATCACCAGACATTAGTCAAAGCTGCCTGCTCTGTCTCAGATATGCAGAATCAGGTATTTCTGCAAGGGAAGAAAATCAGTGATAGGGCACTGTGATATAATATTCTAAATTAGGCAATAATAGTTATGGCTAATCTGTGGCTTCATGAGCAGCTACGAGGAGAAAGGAAAATCACATTTCGCTTCATACTGGTCATTATTTACTGTTCATTATTATTATTATTGGCCTTGGGATACAGATATCCATTGTAAACATTTAGTTCTATATTTGAAATAAAATTTGTGATTTTAAAAAATCCCCTTTACATTTGGAATATTATTTCAAATTGTGGTTGTTTGGTTTATTTGAGAAAAAAAAGAAAACATTCATTTGAAGCTATTGAATACTGTTTAGCTTTATACAAAGATAAGTGGGAAAGATAACTACTTGCAGAAATAACAAACCATAATAAACTGTACTTCTAGCATCTTGAGTTCAAGTGCTGGTCAACTTGGTCTAAAGTGTTAGAAGACTGTATTTTTAAAAAATATCAACTTAGTTGATCTGAAACATCTGTGCCCCCTCATCCCTCTACCTCTTCCCACCACCCCAAATCACTATTTACAATTATTTGGTCTTTCTATTTTGTTAACTGTGTGAGCCCTAGGGTTAATACGCAGGAGGTGGAATGATCTGCCCACAGACTAGAAGGTTATGTAGTTCACCCTTGAGATGATTTATATCCATAAACTTGACAGTGGCGAACTTAACACAAACACTGTTTTTTAAATCCTGGCCAATCGCTCTCAGAGTAAGTTAACTTTCCCACAATCTAGAACAAATATGACATTTGCCTGCAGTCAGTCAGCACAACATTAGGACACAAGGTCACACGGTCACAAGGTCTCCCCTTGTTATTTTTACATTTGGTTAATATCTCTAAAGAAATTGAAAAAAAGAGGTTTCCTTACATTGAGGAACCCCACCTGTCCAGCCTGCTGACCAGCATCAGGGCAGACAAGTTGGACAAACTCTTTCAGCGTCTCCTGAGGATGATAGCGGATGGCTGGGTGCGAGAAGTAAGGCCCAGGTTGCTGGATAATGGGTGATGTCGGAAAGTGAAGAGTCGACGGCGTTGCGTGTGGACTTGCTACAGGAAAAGAAAACACCCGAGTTACAAAGAGAAAGATTTGTTTTGCCGTAGCTTTTAAATCTGATTCAACCTCCTTCTGTAATCTCCTCCCCTGACCCGAATCATCGTCCTGCTCCCGGGACTGAACTGAACACTGGAGGGTCTGATAGATCGTCTTCCTTCAGGCTCCAGATAAACACGGAGGTTAGATTGGGGTAGCGTTTCAAGCTGTCTTTTTATTTTCAGTGGACGTGAGTTATAAGGCATTAAGAATCCTTGATGAAGCTGAAGACTATTCATCACCGTAAGAGCCTTTCTAACGAAGCAAGCAATAAAAAATGTATTTGGTGGATTAGACCTGATTTAAGTGACATTACATATGACAAATTCCAGTTTGCACATATGGATCCCCTTTCGTGCTGAGCTACCCACAGACAATAATTCATTGTTAAAGCTCTTACACCCCTTTCAAGGAAATTTCTAGGGACTAATTCAGGATGAAATTTTTTTGAAGTATGTAGTAAATGATTACTTAATGAACCTGTGCAATTTGGGTGCCTCACTTTACCTGGAAAGTTTGTGTTGCCTTTTTTTGCCATTTCAAAGCCACACTCAGAAATGCATGAACGTTAGAGCAGGGGAAGCAACAGGCTGAGCAAGCAGTGACATCTGCCATACTGCTGGCCCTGTGCCCACGAAAACAGATGAGAGACTCAGACAACTATTACTCCCTTATAGTTGAACCCTGCTAAACTTCATTTGTACAAGAGGACGACTACATTAGATTAAAAAATTTATGTGAGGTGCTTAATAATTTTTTGAGAGAACTTCTGCCCTTGAATTGGAAGGATGATTGATAAAACCAGCTGGAGGATAAGAGCAGCCCGGCGGTTGGAGATACTCAAACCAAGTAACGCCAAGATAGCAGCGCTCACTTCTCAGTGAGGGCCAGAGAAACGTCTCCCCAATAAACGCAGATGGGAGTATTTATCTTTCCTTACTTTTTGTGGTTTAAATCTTTAAACTCAAGGAGCCTCGGCAAAGAGAAAACAAAGGAATGCCCAAATTCTTGGAGAATAGGACTTTACTAATACCAAGAGTGACTCATAAAACCAAGGAGAAACCTAAGCAAGAGAGGCTATCTTTCTACCACTCTCCTATTGGCATGGCTGAGGACTGTACAAAGGATGCATCCTATTGATCCCTGGGCATGGGTTCTTTGTTCCCTACTGGGCTATCTTTGGGGTTGGGGTATTCTCTGACTAATAACTGAAACGGCTAGGACTCTGAGGGTCAGAATGGCATCTGCAGCTTTTAAAGAGTAGAAACGGGGGTTTGGAGTAGACCAACAGTCTAGTCCATGTCTTGCAGAGGACCTGATGGGACCCTTTCATTCATGCCAGCTTTAATCTGTCCAACAAATACTCACGGGCTTGGGATAGAATGGTGAGCCAACAGAAAGTCTTGTCTTCAATCACACAACTGAGGGCATCCTGAACATAGCCTATTCAAACCAGAGTTTCTGCCCACCTTCCACCCCTCATCCTTGCTCTTCTCTCAATCTTCCCCATCTTAGTAAATAGTTTTTCCATCCACTTACTTGTTTACTGTCATATCCCCAGAACAGTACCTGGCACTCAAGAAATACTGGCTGAATGTACAATCAATGATTAAATATATGAGTGGTACCAAAATTAATAAAATAACCATACAAATAAAGATAGACCTAAAACTGTTTTTTTTTTTTTTTTTTCCAACTGGCAAGGAGCTAGGGAGCTTGTAGAAAAACTAGTAAAACTTAGGACTTCATACAATGAATGTAAATCTTGGAATCCATTATTGTCTCTGAGTTAAAACCTGCAAGCTAAAAAGTTAAATGGCTCTGGTCATCTCTTACTCCACAAATTGTGCTACTGGCTTTAAAGAACTGAAGGAATTTTTTCATCTAATATGGTATGGTTGTCTTTGCTGATAGCAAGACACTTTGACCCAGTATCCTGCATTTGACCAAATAGTTTCTAGTTAGGGAGGGAACATGGCACTTTCCAAACAAGGATGGGAATGTACTGAGCATAACAAAATGATACACTCAACTTCTGCAGCATGTCAGACACAGGTGGCGACTCCATTGCCAAGAGGCCATGGGAAGCAGACCTTGATGATAAGGTGGCAACGCTTCAGGTGCTCAATGGGAAGTGATGAATGATTGTTAGATTATGAAATCACCGTGGCCAACAGAGAATGCCGCCCAAGAAAAAAATTCACTTGGGCAAAGATCAGGTGGATAAAAGTTAAAGAAACTTGATAGAGGAAGTAATTCAACAGGATCTTGGAGTCCTTCCCTTAATTGTTAATAAACATGCTTGCTCTCTTTTTGTTGTTGTCAAATATGTAAAAGAAAATAATTAACAACTTAAATTTAGTTTCTCTATTATATTTTACTAAAAACAATATATTCAACTTTTCCTTGTGGCATAGAGTTTATTTTAACACAAACCTAAGAATACATGGTACTATCTATGGAATTAATTCTATAATGACTGATTTATAAGGATCAATCAATTCTTAATTAATACCAGGAAATCATTTAGGCTGTAGATTCAAATTAGACAACTGCCGAGTCTGCATTTCAAAGGGTCGTCCTTCACAACCCCTACATTCTCACGCTGTGGACTTCCTGGTTCAGCCAGTGGTTCAGCGTGGAACTGGATATAAACCATTCAAGGTCCTGAGCTTTATTCTCTTCATACAGAAAACAGTTGTGTTACAGACATTGCCAAGCTCTGCTGACCACTATGACACACCTGCTGTTTCTCTGGATGACCTGCAAGTGGTACACTTCTACTGGACACTGAGACTCATCGGGCTCTCCCAGGGCTCGAAAGCTCAGACTTAAGATTTCAGCAATGTCTAAATGTTTTTTCCTTTCCTGGTTCTTGTTTTCTCTCTTTTATCTTGGATTAGATGTTTTTAGTGTGCCTAACTTCTTGTCTAAGTAGTCTCAAATCATTTTAGAAATTTTCGTTGGGGTTCGATCAATCAATCAGTAAAATTCATTAGATGTATTCTGAGACTGCCAGATCAGGCCCTACAGTAGAGAAATGACCACTGTGAACCTGGCACGGTGCTAACGCAATGCACAAAGAATGGTATGAGTCCACATTTTTCACGGAGAAAAACATCTCTTATGGACGTGTGTGTGTGAGTAGTTGACGCAATAAAAAATTATAGCACATTATGTAAATGCATATTTAGATCCTTTAAAATGTGCATTATTTACTTGAGAGTCAATAAAGGCTTTTCTCAAGTGGTTATAGTTTATTGCAGTGCATCCATCTGTATCCATGTGGATGTTAATACAATTTTGTGTATTAAAAGGCAATACAAAATTGGCTGCTTCTGGGGGCTAACACTCTTAGTACCCTAGGCCAGGAGCGGCAGAGAATGTGAGAAACACTCCACGCTGGATGGATCTCACTACTGGTTTAAACTTTAACAAGAGGCCAGACTTGTTTAAAACAACTGCTTAGGCTTGTCACAAAGAACACAAAATGGGAAGGAAGGGAATTTGATCATGTTTCTTCGGCTGGAATGGCACTGCCTACACATTCTGAACAAAGTAGCCACGATGCAAGACACAGAGCACCAGAATTTCCCAAAAGGTGCAGGGCTCAGTTATTTATTACAAAATGATCATACTCCTGGGCGCTGAGAAAAAGCAAGCAGGTCAGGCAGGCTGGTTTACCTGTTTGCACCCCCGCAAATTCTTTAAAAAAGACTCTCTTGGTTTTAGTTTGAAAAAGTTAAAAATTCAACACAATTGAATATATATTTTTTAACTTAAAAATGCTTCCTTATTTAAAGCAGAATTAAGACTGGGCAAGGAGACGGTCAAGGTCTTTTCTGCATTACTGTGTATGCTGAGAGACACGTGATCCAGCACGGGATTCTTGGGGCTGTGAATCCACCGTAGGGAGGAGGCTCCATAGACACACATTCTCGCTCCAAGATGATACCAGGGAGGTATGGCCAGGTAGGGTGCAACCTTGTATTTCATTTTAAGTCTTAGGGAAGAAAAAGAGATAGAAGAAAGTAACCTTCCTTACCATTTCCCAAATTTAACCTCCAAGAATTCTAATAACCCTCCCACCATTTTCCTCAAACCAACATTTCATGGGTTGAAATATGTTCCTGTATTTAACCCTGACACGGCCTTGACTGCTTTATTCCCTGTCCATGAGCTGCCCCAGATTCTCACAGACTGGACAGACGCGGATTCTTTCCACGTTAGCACTGGCCCTTAAATCCTAGTCTCTCCTCAGTGGGAGGCTCCACAGAGCAGCTGTCCAGAGCGTGGTGCAAACAATAAGAGCCTCCTTCAGGGATGGTGTGCTCTGAAGACAGCCTCACACACAGCCTGCTTCCCGCACACGACGAATGACACTCCGGAACCCTTCCCAGTCTTATGGTTAATCACACTAAGTCAGTGGCAACAGGTGAGAGTCCAAACTGTTTCTCTGCTGGCACCATGACAAGAAAAGGCTGCTCCTCTGTCTTCAGCAGTAAGATGTTCTTTAGACAAAAATAACCATTTCCTGGTTACGCCTAACTACTCATATTTACACTGAAAGATTTTAACAAGGCAGATCTCTAAAAGGAGAAGAAAGTAGAAGGAAAAAATCGCACTTAAAAAAAAAAGCCTTCCATAAGGGCACATGGAGCTTGAATTGTTTGGGTTGTCAACTACTATTTACTTTGCTTCTTCGGAAATTCAAAACCACAATATCTAACACCATCAAAGCCTACCTCAAGCTGAGAAATCTGTCCTAATGGTGCACAGCCATAATTCATAAATCACGCATGAGTCAGATCTGCCATTTATGAAAGCCTAGAAGCTTGGGGTTATGGGATTTATTTTAACAGAGACACAAGCAAAGAGGAATTGGCAATGGTTTTCAAACCTTTAGGAGGTGGAACCTTTCCGAAATAACAAACCTTTGACTCAAGGCAGGCCGAGG